AAGTAGGCATGTCATCACGCGTTACAAACTTAGTTCTGCTCAAAAGAGAAACTTGGGAACCCTCTCCGTCACCCTCATCCTCAGGCGCGTTGCGATCAGGATTAGAAAATAATCGAGCATCTTCGAAACAGTCGAGATACTTATTCGAATTCGAATCAGCTGTAGCATTCGTTCCTTTTTTCGCGATTAAAAAATTACTAAACTTTCACGGATACGAATACAAAAATTTTCCTATTACAACTGTACATGTACAAGATAAAAAGAGTTGCATAACTTGACAATTGTTATTTCAAATATCTATCTAAACATATATTCAAAATTTTTAAGAGTTTTGACGTTAATATCAATATTTTCATTCACGCTCCATTTTGAAAGTATTATCTGTTCTTTTTGGCCTGAATAATTGACACATGATTGGCACATGATTATTGATTATAATAATAATAGTAACGCGTAGTTATAATAATAATAATAATAATATATATCGTGAATTCGGAGATGTGTAAACATCGTTTCGTCGGACATGAAGTTCTCCATGCGCGGCCATGGCTGCTCGCGAGAAGGGAGCACACACACCTTGGTACCCCGTGCGAGAACAACGCGGATCTACGGGGGTTCTGGTTAGGGGGACCTTAGAGAGAGGGAGAGAGAAAAAGACACGCGTATACGCTGATCGCTTTGCAAAAGATCCATAAACGCGGCGTGATGCGCGACCAATCAACGCGGCGTGGCCAGCTGCCGTGTGGGTAACGCCGACCGAGGCGGCATGAAGCCCCGGTTCATTCATCAAAGCCCTGGTTACAGCAACAGCAGCCCCCGAAAAACTCACCCCGATACTCTTCGATCTCGGCGCCATTTCGAAGTACGTTGAAACGTCGAACGAATGTTTCCTATCTGTTGCTACCAAATTTCGCGATCTCTTGCACACATGCATAATCTGGAACAGACAAACAGCCGACAATGCCGCTCATCAAATTTGAGGGATGTACTTTATTATCTCAATAATTAAATAACCAATATTATGTCTACATAATATAAATACCAAGATGATTTTATTTTATATTTTTTTACACACAATTTTGGTGAACCAGTGCTCACTTCTTTTTTTTAATTGTTATTAAGTATCATTTGCTTTACACATTTGATACGGAACAGTGTATGGTGTATGTTGTTGAAATGAATTAATAATAATCATCGCAGCAATTATCATTAGTAACAATCGTCGTTGAAGACTATTGTCACGAATACCGTGACTTCGACAGTTCGGGACAGGAGTATCCCGATCGTTTCGAAGGTGCCCTTTTCGAACACTTCGAGCTGATTCGAGATCGTCGTTAAATTCGCAACACCATGATGCCGTTGCACGACGTTATTCCCTCCCATAGCTCTCCCCGGTGACTTCACTGGGACGCGATGGACGAGCATGCAACTGCTGCTCGTTTACAGTCGCGCGAACGAGCGGCACGTACGCACGCACGCATGTACGAACGCATGCATCCCCCACGCGGGATTTGCACGGCTTTCATTGGCTCGGTTAAGTTTGATTAATCTATTCGGTCGCACCATTGTTCGAAACACGGCGGGCAATCCCATTGGTTGAAAAGGGCCGACGATGCACCGCACGGGGGGCTGCATTGCCATTAAGGGGGAGCAGCCATCATG